CTTCCATATCGGTGATTACATCTAGTTAAGCAAACAGATTTTCTGGTTCTTTGTTTTGATAGTATGCACAAACTACATAAGCATTTCGTTTACTGTATGTAAGCTCTGGTTTTATCTTCAGCTCTATTTGATTATCATTTTATTTCACTAGCATCATTTTCATGTAAATTAAACTTACAGTTAAGGCAATCTTATATTTATACATGACTTTTAAAAGTAGAATTATTTTGAAATATTTTGGGTATCGTTTACCTATAAAATTGTGTACCTGTCCGGTTCAAAATTATACAGCTGTGTAAGAAATTACTTAATCTTTCGTGGTTTGAAACAATACGTTGTATTCTTTTTGTCAAACATATTTGTATGCGGTACAAAACTGCACACAATTTATTTGGCATAACGAATAGTGCAATTGTTTAAGTCCTGGACATGAAGTAGCCATTTTGTCCCAATTCCAGCATGTACACTTGTTGCTATGTTATATACTTCAGTCTTCTATAAATTATTTCGATTTATGCAAGATAAAATCAATTTATGGTATAATGATAAAATAAAGGGAGACAAATCGAATACACTCATATGCCGAACGGAGGCTAAGCATTAGTTTTCCTTACATAAGTTCTCATCTAGCTGGAATATTTGATATGTAATATAAGTATCTGAAAAGTATAATTATTTTTGCAGTCCATTTTGCCTGACTAGTTATTTTCTAATATATTTTTTAAAAGAATTTCAGACTACTTCTATAAATAGATTTTCGGATTTTCACGATTTTTCAAGTTGAGGTCATCTATGTATAGCTTTTGAATTCATGTAACCAGTCCTGCGCAGCAATTTAAATCATACATAAACAACTGCGTACTACAAAATAATAAGTATGTTCCTATAGAAGATACAAATGTAAGGAAATAATTACCGAATTTATGTTTATTTTTTATTTTGTTTTTATAAACTGGGTCGAATAATTTTATGATAATATTAAATAATGTATCTTTAAGAATGGACAAAAATCAGATATATTTAACTTAAATCGAGATATCAAACAGGGATGTCCATTATCTGGCTTTCTATTGATATTAGCTGGCTGAAATAATGGCCATTGAAATAAGAAACTCAAACAGTATTGAAGGAATAAAATTCGAAAATAATAATAAACAAATTAAAAAGGCACAGCTTGCTGATGATACTACTTGTTTTCTGAAATCTGAACAAGATATTCTTGATGCAATAAATCTGGTAGTCAATAGCACAAAAACTGAAGCAATGTGGATTTGAAGAAATAAATCACAAACTGGTAAAGAATGAAATATAGCATGGCTGAATTAACCAATTAAAGCACTAGGAGTCTATTCTGGCATACACTATGAAGAGTGTTCTTATCAAAACTGCCCGAATGTCAAAGTCTGATAAAAAAAATGGTTGAAACGTTAGTAAATGATGTAGGGAAAGTTCAAATTATGAAATCGATATTGATCCCTAAATTTACTTACCTGTTTCAATCTTAGTTGTGCCAGAAAGTATCGTGAAAGAAATCAATAAATAATATTCAATTTTTTATAGGTCAATAAACATGAAAAAGTAAAACGTTTAACTTTAGTAAGCAATAAATTAAAGAAGGGATAGATATGCTAGTCTTAGACTCATATATAACTTCTTTTAAACTTAAAAGTGTAAAAGCTTTAACTAATGAATCAGAAGCAAACTGGAAATTAATTCCGAAACACCTATTGAAAGATTTGGTGACAATTATAATTTTATAGTAACACAAACATTATTAAAAGACTCAATTGTAGAAATGTGACTGAATATTATCAAGAACGTATTAAAATATGGATAAAAATGCAATTTAAAAAAAAGGAATATTAAAATGTGATATTTGAACAAATAAGAAAACAAATAATTTGGGGCAATATACTCATTAAAATTAATAACAAATATTTGTTTTTTACAACATAGATTAAATCGAATATATATACTTAAAATCAGGGTTAAATAGATCAAAATGTTATGTTTAAATAAGCTAGTAGATAAATAAACTCCGTCGTTGAATTAAACTTGCTCTTTAAAGCTATACCTCTAGCCTGGACACGTTTCACTCTTTGCAATCAGAATTCAAAACAGAAAAACGTCTTAAGATAAATGGCAGACTTCTTGAATTAATGGATTCGAAAACTATATATCAAATATTAGTAAACAAAGTATGCATTGAACCCGCTACATATTTGTATTGGTCAAATCAATATGAAATAAAACTGACCTGTAGTGATATATATAAATTCATTACAAGAATTCCTGACAATAGATATAAACAATTCAAATTTGGATAAATTAAAACAATTTTTACAAGAAAAGAAATGCGCTAAAAATGGATAATGGTCTTATCTCCACTCTGTAATAAAAACAATAAAATAGAAGATTATTAACACATTTTTGTCGATTGTAGTAAATGTATTTTTTGGGAAAACTGTATATATTTTTAAGTGTGCAGAATTCAAAGAAATATACATTTTTACTCTGATTTTCATAATAAATGTACCCATGGATGCCTATGGGCACTTTGGAGTTTCAACTTACAATTTGTTTTACTTTTGACTTAAGAGTTATTAACTAAGACTAAAGCTTAGCATTATATACGCGTTATGTAAAGAGGAAAGAGGAAACAACATTGATTTCAGGTATATTATCCATGTTTTATATGTTTTAAAATACACTGTGAATTAAAAAGTGACTTTTATCACATACCCGTGCCGCTTTTGCGACTCCGAAAATATGGTATTGCACGGCCGACCATATGTTTTGACTTGAAGTCATTTGCGTTATATAAACATTGCACAAACGTCCTAAATATTAGCGTTACTCTATAGGTGTGTCATTGAAAAAATGATTTTTTTCCCCTTCGAACGGTCTTTATTTTGGTATGTGATAAATGAAATATTAAATTCGTGTAAAATATGATAAACAAGATCAACAAGGAAAGGCGGCGTTCAATGAACGCAACCCCCATATGACCCAGCAACAAGAACTAATGGCAAGTTCATTACTGAGTCGAATAAAATAATAGTATGCTCACCAAAGGCTCGCATATGTTTTTATTCAATTCGTTCAAAAAACACATATTAAACTTGACACTCATTCAATATCCTCTTTTTATTGTTATTGCTTAAATACTTAATATCACACATATTCAATTGTGGGTTGTGACGATTGGGAAGATGTATGTGTAGTGAAATGGTGCACGGAACAATGTTTGAAGTGTGTATGTCTATTCCAGATTTTTCAAAATCACTGTCCTAAGCTAGAGCTATATATTCATGAATATTATCTTCAACTCGAACATTCCAGTCAACATAAATATATACTCCTAGTGGTCGTATATATCACAAACTCATTAATTCACCGAAAATGAAGAAACTTTGTGTATTTAGGTTTTTTATCTGTTGACTGTCTTGTTAATATTTTCAATATATATGTGCTGATAAAAAGGTCTTTTCTTATCACACACTCTGGCCTGACAAAATATATCCATTTTAAGGCAATAACATAGTCAATTTTAAACATGCATAAATATAGGCAAGAAAATATAGTGAAACTCTATCAAGCAAACAATGAGTCAGTTGAATAGCTAGGTCAGAAATAGACTGCAGATCTATCGACCAGTATTAAACATAAAAAGGTAGATAGATTTACCAAGCGAACACAGAGACAGTATTAAAAATGTAGAGCTAGGTCAGAAATAGAACCTTCTTAGTTACTTCTTTTAAGAAGGCCAAATGAAATACTTTGGAATTAATAGCTTTACTTATTTCTACCACATCACTAAAAATAATAAAACACAGTAAACAAAACAAGCATCAAGCAGCTTAGCACTTGCTGCGGATACAAGTTGTTTTCCATTAAATGGTTTTGTTTCCTATGTGGCTTTGGTGTTCTATGACGAATTACATGTGGTACTTTTACATCATAATTTATAGTCAGTGTTATGTGATAACAATTCAAGTTCATATAACAATGAATTCAGTGTTATCATTACCTTGTATTTCAATTTGGATATATTATTATATGCTTTAATTGTCGTGTTCACATGCTGAAGGTTGCTAATACCTCTGTATAATGAATTTCATAAATCAGTTACACATAGAATTCTGTAAACATCAAATGTCTTTTTGTTCTTAATTAAGAAAAACTTTAATTGCGGACGAGCGTAGCTATGAAGAAAATAAGTAAAACGACTTTTGTTACAATAGTGGGGTTATTAATCTTGAAAAAAATGGAACACTATGAGATGAATGTGTTCCTAAATGAATCTGTCGTGTTTCTGTAAGTGAACTCAATTTCTAACACCAACATCTGCGCAGTCGGTAGGCAATCATATTATATTTTCCTTATTTATATTCGATAACATATTCAAAATATAAACATTATATAATTTGAGCAGATCATATAATAAATATAATAAATTAACAAGTAAATTAGACACAATCATAAACTGAGGGTACCTATTCAGTTTGGATTTTTTGGTTTCGAATTTTCATGTGCATGCGTACACTTACAGGATCTTGAACATTATAGGCGGTCTCGTTAAATTAAAGAACTATCCTGTGCATTTGATTTTATAACTATCCTTTATGTTTTATTTTATAATGACAAAAGAACTATTCTTAAATTTTAGTTTAAAATGGCAATAATTATTCTATACATTTTATTTTAGAATGGCCAATAGGAATCCCAGATTTCAATTTGTAATTTAAAATGACCAATGAAAATTCTTCTAATATTCAGTTATATCCTGTCAGTTTTCTGGTAGTCAAACTGACTTTAGATGACATTCGGACAAAAAATGGTTTAATTTATTTGCCAGTGAAGTGTGGACTTTATGAGTGAAAAGCTTTTGTTTTAGACAGTGACAATTATTGTCATAAATAAAAAGAAACATCTCGGACAAATTACACATCAGCGCGGATGTTGGAAACAAGGAAATAAACAAAACGGAAAAGGAAATAAGTATTTACATTGTTATAAACATGAATAAACATTTCATCAAGTGGGATATCCTTTTATGTACAAAAGCATGATTCAAGCACATTTTTCTTTCGGTACAAACAATTTACATTAGAAATATACGTGCATATATTATGTCAACATAAATATAGCAACATTACTTGTAAAATGTTCTTGCCTGTTTCTGTTAGATATACTATATATAGAAAATTGAAATCTAGGAAATCTTTACTGAATATAGATGTATTTTATCTGGATAAGAGAAACAAACTATTCTGGGGAAACTGCATTCTCTAGCTAGTACTGGTCATGTTGATTTTGTCCTTTCTTAAACAACTTCTTGGTTTTTTTTAAATAACAACATGTACTCATACAGTGTTTAACTATATTTTGTAGAGTTTAAAACGTACATTTAAAGAAATACTTTATAGACATTATCAGTATTTTAAGGTATCAAATATGTGCGTATCATAAACTCTTAAACAAGTGAAATCTGACACTAGAAGTCGCAAACAACAACAACGAAAAAAATGAAATAAAATAAAACAAAAAACAATCAAACAGCAACAAAAACATCACGAAAAGAATAATAAAACACAGTAAAAAACAAACAAACAATTTTAGCCTGCGTTTCTTATTCGTATTCAAGCAATTTGCCTGTGAACGGATTGTTCGATACATTTGTTATTCAAGAAGCTAGTCTGAAAGGTCACTATCGTTAATAACATGTAAATATAACTGATCGCCAGTTAGTTCGGGTTCGGACTCAACATTGGATGCTTTTGGTTCTTCTAGCTGAACTTCTACAGTAATATGGTTAGTCGGGTGCAGATAGTTTTCGGATTGGTCACTTGTTGAATTGCTTGCCTCCGAAATGCTCTCGGGCGGACAATTTAGAGAATTGTTATGAGTTTCGCATCTATCCATTGAAATGTCGTCTGCTGCGATAGTGTCATAGTGGTCAGATTCATAGGGTTCATTGTAGACCCCGGAGTAGTTCATCTCACACGACGAACCCCAAATTCTTTGATAAACAAAATAAAAGTATAAATTAATAAATAGTGTACAGTTTGAATAACAGGACCAAATTATTTGAATGTTCACATACTTTGATGTATAGTCTTTTTTACCATAAATTCTGTTTTGCTAATAAGGTATAAAAGACAATGATCTTGGTAGCGAAGTTCTAGCTTTCGGAGTGAGTAAGCGAACAATCAATTTTAAATGTAAGTATACTAAGTATAAAATGGGAAATAACTAAGCAAAAATAACTTTCAGGATGATCTACCACCCTCACTCCCACCTCCCGGAAAAAAACATTTCCAATTTGATACTTAACAAGTACTCCAAGTTTACATGTAAAGTGAATAATTTTGAAATGTAACTAAACAAAAGTGTTTGATTGAGTATGCTCATGAGAGGCAACGTAATATGCGACATCTCTCCCAAACGCTAGCACCGGCCTAGCCAATAATCAATAAAGACAAATACACAATAACTGACAATAATGCAGATGGACTTTATAACTTTGGTATTCAATTTGGGGTTTATTCTATCTAGAAATATAAAAATACGATACGGATTAATTTGGATTAATTGCAACATTGGTAGAGGGAACAAAATTTTGAGACAATTATCTCTTAATTAAAGGATACCAAATATGAACATCACTACTTCACTCCCTGATAGAGTCTAAACCAATTTAAACGCAATATGCGTACTTTCATTGTTGTATTAATTATTAATTAATTATTAATATTGAGATGATGCCTTAACAAAAGCACAAAATTAAAAAAAATGCATTGATTTTATGTACCTGCCCAATCGTAACTCACAACGGATTTCTTCTTTCGTATTGTTCTGGTTTACTTTATTTCGTAATCTTCTGTATTGTCGACAAATCAAAACTATAGCTGTGAATATGAAATAAATGTAATAAACAGAGTAACACGAATCAATTAAAATGTCATAAAGAATGGCCTCTTTACGGTATGCCTAATGCAATCCTTTTTTACTGAAATATTTAACGCCCGGACAAATACTGCATAACCAGCAATCCACTCTCTTTCCCCGCGGATATAGAGATTATAGAGTGCCAAACTACCTAGAAAAGTTTGTATTCCATTGAACATTTATTCTAAATCGTCAATACAACATACTTCATACAATGCAAAATTGATTTCAAGTTGTTTATGTGTTCTAAAATAAGCAGCGATCACATCGGTTAAAATATATCATACATTCTAACACGACCCGCATTTCTCCCTATTGAGCATAAAAGAACCGAAAGTGTGTGTTATTATGCTATAAAATCACTGTTTGGCGTTCTATATTTAGACATGTGACGTAATCATTATACATGTGACGAAACCACTATAAAATCCGACGCGCTGACAATAAGTACGGAAACAAATTAGGTGCAATTTTGCTTAATATCAGGTACTACAGCATTTATTTGTTGATGTGTTAGAATCGAAATAATATAGATCTATCCAAAGCGGTGATTTTATCGCTGGATAACATCACTGTTTGTCGTTCCTCGCACCCGAACTCCAAACAGTGATGTTATTGAGCGATGAAATCACAGTTTGGGATATAATTTTTTTATATAATCGATTGCAAACATAAAATATACATGTGCTTAATAACTTGTATACATTATATGAAAATAGAAAAGTAAAATATAATGTACGGAATAGGGGCTATTTCAAAATTTTGTTCACGAGATTAATTTGACCCACATTTATCCAAGTGACGACAATAAATAAACATTTTCACAAGAATGGCAATAATGTTTGGCTCAATCAAACCGAGTCTACAGCATTTTTGATTTGCCGTTTTGGGCGTTCTTTAGCGATTCTGATATTTTTCTATTTTGTAATAACCTCGATGGATTTTAAAACAGCTAAATTTAAATTCCAATGAACACACGTGCGTCTATATAAACACTAAAAACAAAGACGGAAATGTATACTTCAACTTTACCCATTGCATTGATAAAAATTAGCGCAGCACCCGCTCCAGTCGTCGACAGTACAAGTACAACCGAAGTAACAGAAGAACTTGAAGAAGTAGAAGAACTGTTGATCGTGTCCTGCGACTTTTTTATATACTCAACATATCCAATCATCTTGTGTATGTTTCCTATTGTTACCTAGAATTGAACGGTAACGTACATAAATTTTCACTTGCGTATCAAGTTTATAGTAGCGAATACGATATGGTTACATATAGCATGACAGACCACCAGGAGGCGAAAGCTAAACGTTTCGGTGGTTTTATGGGCTGAGAAAGATGTAATATGATTTTCGGCTCATATGACGTTAGCACTGTCACATTTGTACCAGTGGCTTCTTACTGCGTTTATGCTCAACAGTAAAAGGGTGTGACTGTTTCTCATGTCTCTTTGTCATGTTACAATGTACAATCCTATTGACCATTTTCGCTTATACCTTCGGGAATAATATAGAGATATATTCTCATCAAGTTGGGTATTTCATTCACTCTACGAAATAAATACAACAGTTTTACATGAAGAACTGTCCAGATTATAAATCTTCATACGCACTTACAAATACTTTGAATATCAACAAGTGTATTTAATCAATTGTTTTTATGAATAAGAAATTAAATTAAAACCACTCCGATAATTGAATGCTTGATTTATAATTTTAGAAAACAAAATCGTAATCAGGTAAATGAATTTTCCTTCCTTACATTAACTTCCGATCGTGTTGCATTTGGTATTCCACTCTTTGGCTCGTATTTAGGGGCTATGCATGTTATACACGTCATGCTCAGCTCCACTATGACACACGATGCCACGCCGACTGTTAGATTTATATCAAATTTTGTCGCAACAAGGCTCAGCATATACCCCTGAAATTACAAAGGAATGGAAAGCCCGTCATTGAAATTGTACCTATACTCGTATTGTTGGAAATATGTCCAAAAATTATTCTTGCAATAACTTTGAGGAAATGTATCATTTACTTATAATTATAACAACAATGATTAAATGAAAATTAGATCTAAATAAAAGCAACTGTGAAAAAGACATTAAGATAGATGGAGTCTATTTTTACATGATAATTCATAGTAATTATCTTTTTTTAAATTTGATTAATCTTAAAAGGTATGAAATTGAACTAATCTCTTAAATTTACGTTTTTAAATCGAACGCTAAAAGATGAAAGTAATATTGATTTATTGATAAAAACGTACAGTAATATTCAAATGCCTTTCATCATCTTCAAATTTTACGACATGGTCACTTTCAGTGAGCTTATTGATAATTGGATCTTGATAGTATTTTATTTCAATATCGCCTGGAATGTTATCCAGATAAATACAACACACTACTGTAACATGTTTTGAAAATCGATCAGTCGAATTCTGCAATTTCAATAATTCCTGTTCAAGACTTTTTGGCGCTTTTGGGATTTCACAAGATGCCAAATTTTCTGACAATATATTGCACTTGCCAATCTGTAATGTAAAAAGCATGTCGAGTATTAAGGTATTAGATGTATAATTGAAAATATTCATAACTTTATGTTATACTATGATTATTATATCATTATATTATCACATAATAATAATAATAATAATAATGAATAATAATAAAAAAATAATAATAATAATTACAATAATAATTAAAATAATTATAATAATAAGGTTTAAAATCTTGTCTGAGAAGTATTGAAAATGTTTGTATCAGTTATATATATTTCATCTTTACCTTACTCTAGAAATAGTAACATATCATATCAGAAACTAAACAAACTATATTTTAATCACTCATTTAGCACCTGAAATATTCGTATGGATTAGGAAACATATCTTAATGCAAGAAAGGAAAAGACCTACAGGCCCTGCCAACTTTGTATCCTCAAAATGAATTCAATTCTCTTCCGGAAGGAGGTCATGCATTAGGTGTCTAATACCTTAAAATATGACAACTTTAGACAATATTTAAAGTATGTTTTTACTATAATATTTACAGCATAAACGAAATAAAAATTTCTGAAATATTTCCAAAGTTGTGTACAATTGTCATGCTATTAAAATCAAGTTATTTTCTTGTGTTTTTTTTTATAACTCGTTTATTACTCGGTGAATGATCATAACTTATTGAAACAACAGACAATAAATTCTGAATATGTTTACCTTTTCGTTTACAATTTAAAAAACGTAAGCCTATATGCAATGACGATTGGTTGTGGATTTTATACGCAAGTGCTTATTGCGCGTGATGAGCGGTACCCATATGATGTTAAATGCCGCACAGGTTTGGTTGGACAATTAACAGTTGAGGTTAATAAATTGACAGGGTCCCTTAGTTTGTAAAAGAAATGAACTGTTGTACAGAATTTTACCATTCTAATGAACCTACTGTTTTAAAGTGCCTAGTCCGTCTGGTTTAATTAACTTGACATCACTGAAGCGTATTAAAATAATATTTAGATTATCAATATTACTATAGGAAAACCATTGAAACACATTTTAACAAACGAACAAGATTTATCATTATGAGGGATAATGTGAAAATGCAACTCCAATCACGCACAGTACGGCTTAAGAAATTACTCGATTGTATACACATAATTAATGCTGGAATAAATGATTCCGAAGGAGCAGAAAAGTATAACAACACTGAACTGAACTACGGGACACATTTTTACAGATGCCACACGGTACTTGACAACTGCTGTTGTGAGTATAAAAAAAAACTGGAAAAAAGGCCATCCCTCTGAAGTTTTAATCACAACAAAATAACATGAAAATTGCAGACTCGGTACACCACACATCCACAATTTGATTCAAGGTATATTTAAATACAAAATATAACATCAACTACATTTTCCGTCGGGCTGTGTAAAAATGAGCACCAAGAGGCTACTTTTTGCAGATAACCAATTCGGCAAAGACTTAAAACATGATAAACAAGATCAACAAGGAAATGCGGCGTTCAATGAACGCAACCCCTACCCTACCCAGTAACAAGAGCCAGTGGCAAGGAGTCCAGGAGGACCCCAAAGGCAGAGCATGGGCAGGATATTAACTAAAATCATAAATAATCAGTAACTGATAAGGAACTAAAAGAAAACAAACAAATGATTGAATAATAGGCCAATAAAGTCAAAGGGCTCAGGGGAATACTTTTAAGTTTTCAATAAGTCTAATGTAAAGTATTGAATAAAATTACCTTAATGTCGTGCATGTAATTTATTGTTAATCTGGCACTATTGGCGTTGCTCAAATGTGTTCCTTCATAGGTAATTTTAGTTCCTCCACTAAGAAAGACAAAACTGAGACCGTTATACTAATTATCTACAATTTTAATTTGACAAGGAGCACTTGTCACCGAAAAAAATTAATCATCAAAATGTTAAATTACCAAAAGATCTATACAATACAAAACCAAGATGTTCAATATTAAAATTATATAATACTTATATATTTTAAAAGCAATAAAAGGAATTCTATACTTGCAAAAAAGCATAAAAGGAAAAAATCAAATTGAATTTGTCCGATAAAACAGTAAAATATCAACTTTTCAGAAGATAAGAATCTTCCAACTCTACGATTGAAAAAAATTAGGGCGCGTATTCGACTATGTAATATTAAGTTAAGCTAAAAATACCTCAGAAAGGCTTTTTTGGGAACTGAAGAATGTAGTGTCGGATCAGGGACATACGTAAATGAATTCGGTATAATAAGCATGCGGCGATCCATCCCGACATAAACTGTTTTGTTGCTTGCTGTGTTATTTTTCTTTTTACCAACCGTGCAAACGATTATAGAGTTTATTGATGCTCTGAAAAAAGATAAATAAAACAAGACGTATATGATCAGAATATGCACGACATTGCAGTGCGTAGAATCAGTTTGATGTATTGATTAATGTAAAAAAACGGGATGTAGTAAATGAATTATCCCTTTCAGAGTGCGATGATTCTTTAAAGACTGGGTTAATTATATACACTAGGCCTTTCAGGATTTACTGTCTTGGTTGATGTTTTATGGCGGGTGTAGTGATGAAATGATTGGTATTTTATGGTGGAGTGTATGGTTAATTGATTTACATTTTCTGGCGGGATGAATTAGCATTTTGTGTCCAAGCAGAATATTGTAGCATGTGCGATATAGGAGTAAAATTAAACTTTAGTGCTAGGCAGTACCTTAGAAAACATCAGAATGTCAAAATCGCGTAATGTCTTATATAAACTGGGAATCTCAAACGACATTAGTGTTTTATGGTTCAAATACATGAGCAATATATCATGTTCAAAGTTGATGGCATGCGGAAAGAATAGCACCTTAAAAAGAATTGGTTATACTACGCGTAATTAGACTATTTATAAAATGACCAAATTGATATTTGAATGGATTGACGAATGGTTGCATTGGTTGTTGTTTGTGTATCTTAAAAAAACAAGAAAGAATATGATATTAAGTTCGTCCTAAGTTTTATAAAACATTTAACTTACAAATTTTCTAATGGAACTTTTGGCCTCACTTCAGGTCTTAAGCATGGGAAATTGTCAAGTTTTACATTAACATTTCTATTTCCAATTCCTAGATTCTTGCCGAATATAGTTAAGCGGGTGCCACCTGCTTCCTGTCCGTAATAAGGTACAATGTCCGTCACAACTGGAACCTACGGAGTGACATATATAAATAATTTGATAACTTTATAGAAGTTTACAAAATAACTCTTTTGAAAACAATCCTTGCTCTAAAACATTATGTTTTTTGTCTATTTCACTTATTTGTTAAACATGTAAATGACTGCTTACAGAATATGATATGAAAACAGACAATGCATTTTTTTCGGTTTTATTTCGTACGATGCTTCAATTAAATGACCACATTGTTCATAATAAAACACTACATCACTAATCAAAGTAATATGTACCAACTAAAGCGGGAAATGCGTAGCGTCGAGTACAATGTATATAGCTTATAGTCAGTCATTCCAATTTAAAGTAATAATAACGGTATTCTATGGTGGCTGATTTGTGCCATTCATGTTTCGCCCCGCGACTCCGCCAAACGAAAAGTCAAAATTAACAAGTTAATCGGCGGGGTCGCTGGACGAAAACACGATAATTAGCACCCCGCTAATAAGCATGTTTTCGCTCCGCACCCCCTGTCATTTTAACTAGTGAATTCTCGAGTTTTCGCTTGGCGGGGTCGCGGGACGAAAACACGCTTGTAAGCGGGGGCGCGCGGCGTAGGCTTATTTAGTGTGCATAATTACTTAAAACGTATATTGAAAGGAATGTTTTTATAAATAAGAGCTGGGTATTAATAAGCTAATTAATATCCCAAAATATCACGTTTATACATACTCGGTAGTAGAATTGGACAGCCGAGCTGGAAATTAGTCTATTTACTGACAATATGACAGGTCCTGATGTCTCGCTCTTGGAAGATCCAGTCAAACATATTATCCTGGAAAAAAATGTAATGAAGCATCAACAGCTTTTTATATCCATTTTTTATCTTAAGTGAAATATTTAAGTATACATTTTTGCCAATTCATTAAGTTTTAAAACTGATATATTATGTTTAAAGAGATCAAGTGGGGTAAATCAGAAATGCAAAAGATAAGAAAAGGCGCAAAAAATCTTAAATAAGATAAAATCAGAACCACCGTCATAAAGTTATCTTACCAATTTGGACATTTTGATTCAAAAATTCCGTTGTGTGTGTCATTTGTCTGCGACATATCGTCGTTTATTTCGCAAGGAATGTTTGCAATTTCGACGCTGTTGATATCCAACAAACTTGAGCCCAGATTTAATCCGTTAATAGTTACTCTTGTTCCTCCTTCTACAGGACCGTCCATTGGAATGACCTTTGATAATATTAGTATTGTTTGAAAAACAGTAAATCATAACTAAATTCTACATCTGAACTAAAAAGTCGGAAACGGGTTAAATTTATTTGTGAACTAGATACACATTCTGGAATTATTGGAATTGGTAGATTTTTAAAAATGAAACTATATATGCGCATTTTGATAAATATAAACGGCCAACTGGTCCATATTTTTCTATACGATTTAGAAATAAGATATTAAATTTTGCAACATTCATTCAAAAAAAGTCTATTAATAACAACAACTCCGGACGATGTACCTTCATCCCCGAATAAATATTTAACTAAAATAACACCGTAATAACGACAAGTTATATACTAAACGATAACGTAACCATTGTATTTAAATATGTCTAGACAAGACACTTACATCTATTATAGAAGGTGCCGGACAGTTTGCCGATGAACAATTTTGATCTTTATAACCACATCTGTTGGTGTTCGTACACCAGTCACAAAGAAATCGTGTTTTGTTTAGTGCTTTACAGTGACTGCAGTCTGTGGCCAACATTGTACAATTGTAAACCGTCACTAAAATTGTGAAACATGTCATTGACAATTTGGAAGATTTCATATACAGTCACATGTTTTATGATACATGGATATAATTTGTTAACATTCCCAATCGAAGCAGAATCGTTTTTGTATAAATGTCTCTCTCTCAGAAATATCGGATATGAACATTAACAACGGAAAGAAAAGTCGTTATCTTGGCAAACTAGCCGAGGAAGCTCAAACCTGCACTCTGGACATCGTTTCATTGCGATTAATCTTCTTCAAAATTGTTTAAATCTCTTTTCGTCAGTTCAATAGATATGTACACTTCATACATACCCGGAAATGAAGAACTGTTACCTTGGCGCGAGGAACATCAAGCCTGCGCTCTGCAAATTGACCATTGTCTCATTATGGTTAATATTTCTGCCAAGTAGTTTCAATCTTATATAATCGCTCAAAAGACGGAAGGACAGGTTACCAGGTGAATAACATTATATCTTAACTTTTTTCGGGGAAATAAAATTTTTACAAATATAATGCTTTTTCTCGATAGTCCTTCCTAACCATTTTATATATAATAATGATAAAAACTCTCGCTATAAAACTCCACACTACTGTTACTGCTTTGATAGGTACATATACCATTACAAACTCTAGGCAATTCGACCATAACAGTGTACAGTGTATAGTAACCTTATTTTTTAAAATGTTTTTTTTTTCTCTCTTTTTTTTATGATTATATCTTCAATTTAATTATAAAGTTATGTTAAAAAAATGATCATACCATAATGTTTGAATGGATCCTCTAATTTTATAGTTCCTTTACCAGATTGACCATAGTAAATTTCAGTTGATATATTTTGAAGCGGTCTATCCGACAATTGAGGTGCCTGAAAAATGTTAAAGTGTCAAGTACGTTCTTGAAAAATATAATATTTGTTATATCTTTCATATTTTAAATTATTTATGTTTTCTTTTTAAATTGCTTTTCGTATACATGTATTTAGTTTTCAGAAATAGCTTAACGTTTACTTCCATGCCTCAGCATAACCACTTAGAAATGAATATCACATTAAAATGTAAGTTATTTAAAAGAAGTTTCGACTTTATTAAAGCAAAACGTGAACTTAATAAAGTAAACCAACATTGATAGGTGTTAAATGATATCAGAAATGTCGCGCTAAAGCCAAAATTTGTGGAAAGTTGGGGGTGATGAAATTGAGAAAACTTACATTTATGCTGCAGAAGACTGAGTCGTTGACTGTATAAGCTCTGAAGTATGCTGTAGAAAACATCTTACAAGTGTAGAAGAACCTGCTAGTATTTTCCGACTTTAAGTAAGACAAAAACACCACTGTTTAGATATGTACATGTAAAATCACCCTAAAGATATGTTGCCTGCTTTTTGAATTTGTTTTAACAGCTTGTTTGTGACATGCAGGTTTCGTAACTGTTGATGTTTACTCATTTAGGGAACAAGTATACTTTTAATTATGGACCATACGCCGCTTTTCATGGAAACACACTAGTTTGTCACATTGTATGCTTTATAATAAGGACGGTATGGGCACATCTGCAGATATTTTCGAATTCAAAAGTTAATCATTTTATATTATTTGTTGAATACTGCTTAAGCCAGTGCTAGGGATGTGGGAACGGACAAATCAAACCAGGCTGGGTGATTTTCCATTTTCAGTGATCTTTTGGATTTTTTTCTCCAGCTTGCTCTAAGCTATCGACCGAGCTTATAACAATACTTTTAATTTGTTGAATAAATTGTGACTGTGTATCCAGAATTATAATTTTATCGTGCCTGTAATAGCAAATTATAACTTTTTAGAAGCAAAAGTGTGGAACTGCTTCTAACTCATTATGAAAACTTTGAGTACAACAATTGCAGAAACGAACGCAGTAAAACGACTGTTTATGGTAAGTAAGCATACAATACAATAAATTAAGGACAATTTCTAACATCTAGGGATTCTACCGAGTCCATTGCATCGGTCTGCGACTGTTTCTGACATCCTTGAGGACTTTCAGATATCTTTCTGCCATTCAAAACATTTCTGACTTCTGCGGATTCTTCCGAGTCCATAAATACAATTCCACGTTTGGCTCCCCTTACAAGCTTATGCTTCAGGACCCGAAGATCGCATCTACTGGTGTATCGATTAGAAATAAACAAAAGATATATCTCACTCCGAAATTCGTCTTTTTAGAAATGAATTTCTACTATAAAATGACTTATTTTGTCAATCTGATATGGCAAGTGTCTAAATTGTCTGATTGTTTTGTTTGTTTTTTGGTAGGCACTTGGGAAATGGAGAATAGCATCGAGAAGGTAATTTGCATTAGGGCCACTTTACTCAAGTGCTCTTTTGTGCATTATCTCGGGCACGAACGGACACTTGAGTGAACTACCGACGTTTTGTAAGCTTCTTGATAGCAATTTTACATTGAAGAATCTGGCGCGATTGTAAACCGCATCCGTGACAAACAGATATATAATATCAACGACCTTAACCACTCGGTCATGAACGCATTTGTATAATTTGCTGTTTGTAGATGTTTTGGATTAGCAAAATCGCATCGTTCAAATATTACGTTGGGTGAAAATGTTCGTTCAGAACATTAAACTAAAGTAAAGTATTCAGAGGTATGAAAAAACAGAATGGAAAGCATATACATTTGTAAATGAATTAACGGCTATTCACAAATTTAGTTTACTGATAGAATGAAGAGAATGGGTGATTGTCAATACACCGACTCATCTGCAAGAACTTTTTCTATGAAACGTTTCTTCCTGCTAACAAAACAATTAGGTTGCAGTAGATCAAGGATAATTCAGACCCTTCTCTGTGCGTTATTTAAGGCCAAAACAGGCACCTGCGTAAATCAAACAAAGTATCGCCAACTAGCTGGATAGCTTTCTCACATGACACAATTTCAAGACGGTGACCCAGCTTGAACATAAAGCGATGAGAAAGAAGTGATTTGAAGTCAGCTACCTTAACGACTCTGTCACGGACACCCTTGAAAAGTCATACAAAATTTATAACAAAAATGATTGCAAGCATCAATAAATATGTTTTCAGACGAGAATAACTTAGTTGCCTTTAAAGCAATACAATATCATAAAACAAGTGTAAAATACAATAAAAGCCTACATTATACCTGGTACTTGATGTTTTCGATTTTTTAAACGATATGCTTTATAATGCAAAATACCTACCTTTGGAAGATATTTTCCTTGAAAGAGCACAGGGGTCAACCTGCCAGCATGAATAAAAATGCACCCGCGTGAATCTATCAATTGTGGACAAAAATGTTTCTGAAATAAGATACAACATAATAATTGCCATTATGAAATTATAATGACATTAGCTATCACTGAATGTGACACATATCCTTGCCCAAGCTGAATTGCAAACAAACACACGAACCATCACAAGCAGCTTGGAATAACAAATATTTTAGTTACGTCTTTCAACGATCAAGGTTAGTTTTAGTAACTGAATATAAATGTTTGATCCTGAATGTTGTTTTGCCCAAATAAAAACTAGGTCCGTTTGATAGTGTTAAAGTTGTGTCCAAATATCAATCAAATATGTACAGAAATAAATAACAAAACAATGGTAATTTAAGCAAATGCTAAATGGTCACATAAAGATCAATGTCGTACTTGAAATTTTTCAATACGTAAGTTTTGTTATAGATGTAAGTGCTTTCTTAGATAAAAACAAAATGTTGTGGAAAATTTTAGAAATTCAATCATTAACAGTAATTTACCTTTGAGCCTATTTTAAGATATTTTTCAAAGGTTTTTATGTTCAAGTATTATATGCAATATATAATTATAACAAATTTTCCAACGTTCCGATGATCTACATATTAAGTCAAGCGGGGGAGGTGGACTTGATTCATACAGAGATTTACTTTATACGGACAATGATTTTCTTACAATATACATGTATGATCAAAACTAGAATAAAAATGTATACTGCCGCGTGTTAGTAATGTCAGGAAGTTTCATCGTTTTATATTTGAACACATTTGTATTTTGATTTTTTCATACCATGTCACTATAATTATGCTCATTGATTACATGTTAGCTTTTTATCATATTTTATAATGCATATTACCTTGTTGTTCGTGTCATTGAAATATAGAAACAACTTATCGTTATTCAGGAAAATATATCAATTTTGAGAACATTTTGGTAGAATAATGGCCGTGTCGAGTTCAAATATCAGGAATATTTTTTTCAAATGCCGATAGTATAATGGAAGAAAAATCATTATTAATTTCCATTTTACAATGCTAATAAAACAAAGATTGAAAAGAATATTCTGAACTACATTGGATGTAGAAGTAACTTATCTGACGTCATTTGGATTATTGTCATCATGTAAGACGTAATATGACTTGTACGCGTTTTGTTTTATCCTGCTCATATATTATGTAATAATGCACTTAACTGTCCAATCTGTTTGTTAGGGTAATAGTGTGAAACGTGTTAGAATATGCAATATATCATTGCACATCATTATAGCATAAAGTTTATGGTATCTTAACAAGCAATTATGTTCTTTTGAATTCCATTATATCATTATTTCATACATGATATTCAAATATCTTCTACCATATTGCAAATAATGTTTCATTATAAAACAATGTATAAAAACTTACTGAACCTATCAATTGACTTTTACACAAAGAGTTTGGCGGCATACACATTGCTGCATCATTACACCAGTAACATTGTGGGTCCGATCTTTCTGTACAGTCAACACATCTATTGAATAAAATATCAAAACAATAAATATTTATGTGGTGTTTATCAAATCATGAATTATCCTGACCGCCCTAAAGTCAAGACTATTAAAAACATGCAAACAATGATTTTTTCCTCACTTTGTTAATGTGCACCTGAGATATGTTTCAGTTAGAATTTTAACAATTCAGATTATCACGAATAAAGCAGGACCAAACTGTAAATATTCATATCCAAATACAAAATTATATTAAATGAAGTAACTAATATCTAGTGATAAAAATATCACCTTCTTATTGAAATTATCCATACATGTTAGTTGTTATAAAAAATATCTATGTAAGCTTCAACACCATGTATTGTAAGTTACTTTTATCAATGACAGTACCTTGTGAAGTTACCACACTCATAAAATAAAACGGCCGCTTCTGAAATAAGAAAACTCTCATTTACGTATGCCTGTAATGACAGCCCAAGTTTTAACTTCCTATGTTCTGAAATAAAGACATATATATTAGTATAAACAACACTAATGAAAGATACATGATGTTCAATTTCCAAAGCAATACAACACTTGCATTCAGACAGTTCAAAATTGTATCAGGTTTCCCTCCAAAACGTTTCCCTCCAAAAAAACTTGCATACTACTATTACTGGTATATGTGTAAATCTTATAATTATTGGTCTTTGCTTAATAAGGGAATTGTTTTGAAGGAAGCGTAAAAGGTTCAACCGTGGATAGCATGGAGGGAGTATTTAGGAAATTATCTTGTCCAGGAATGTTTAAAAATGTGCACCTAAAAGATCTATATTTAATTAATGTATTGAGGTGAGGAATTATACTTCTTTCATGAGTAACGATAGAAAAATTTCTTCATTAAAAAACCTTTTAGTCTATAATCATTATCTAAGTAATTTGGAATTCGAACATTCCACAACTTGGAGGCTCACAATGTTTTTCCACATCCTTTTTACTCCATCTTACTACTATGTTTACAATTTAGCCCTAATTGTTTGATTTTTATTTATGTTGACAGTTAAGAAATCTGTCAACTGTCATCTTGGGAGTTCTGAACAACGAGAATTACAAAATAGAACATGTTCTATCCTGTAAATCTAGGTTTAAGGTTTAGGAATTCAGGAAATGGTAGGCTTTACACAATATGATTTTCCTGTAAATCAAAAATTTAATGGGTGTTGTACTTCTAATCCTACGGTCTGTCGAGGCTTAATTAATATGGATAATTTCTCCGACGAATGCGGGGAACAATGTTTCTATGCTCATAGTTGATGATAAAAATATTAACACTGGCATTAACATGAATTAAAAAATGCATAGTTTACCTTTCTGCTTCAGATTTATAAACGAATATTGCTGATTTTCATTTAAATACCAAAATGATCAATTTGTCAGCTTAAAGTATAAGGTCAGGAAGGAAAAATAATTTTTTGCATGATTTAATTTTGTTCAGAGGAGACAGTGTAACATCATTCAAGCGTTCTTGTACTGATTCAACTTGTATTCAATCTTTAGCATGTACAAATGTTGAGATAACTTTCTTCCAAAATGATAAAAGACGATGAAATGACGTAAGAGGCAACGTTAAAGTCATCTTTGAAAATAAACCTGTAATAATTGCAACAAAACCTTTAATGAAAGGCAAAACACAAGAAACCACACTTCCGTTTATTTCTGCTTGTATATCCGAGGCAATGATGTCGTTCTTATTATCTGCAAGTCTGCATTTTAATACGTCATCCGTTTGCGGCTTCGGAAGATGTTCAAAAGTTATCGTCACCTGAAGTGTAATATTCAAAAGATAATAAGGCAACTTACATAAAAAGGACTCGGACACTGACATGTTTAAATGTTCATATATATTGCTTCTACTCTACTTTCGGAGTAGAAGTTGCTTTTTTGACACGGGAAAGCAAATTACTTATTGTTGTTGTTGATAAAGAACAACACACACGCGCACACACAAATAAATATCAAAATATGTTTAATTATCAAAAGTTGTTATCATTTTAATTTTTGTTTAAGATACCAGTTCAATTATTAATGTTTAGCACTTTAGACTAAATATAAGGTTAAGAATTGTAACGCATGAAACACCAATCTAAATATTGTTTGAGTACGCGTCATGATACAAATAAAGAAAAACACACAAATACACCAAAATAATAGAATGAATAAATAAATAATAAAGTTTACCTTCACGTTTGAAATCTTTGAAACCTTAACGGGTATTTTTGATGGAATTATACGAAAGTTGTTTAACGACGATATCCAATGGAAGGGGGCTTCTGAGCATTTAGATTTCCTTGTTTCTCTGTAAAATAATAAGTTTATGTCATGTTTTATTATATTGTGGATTAATTTTTATACAATTAAAGCAGCATGTTCACATCACTAAAACTTGAGAATGTATTCGCTTACTTTTTCCGTTTGTTACAATTCCAGATCACGTGCGTTATGATTCTAGATCATGATAACTTCCTTTACCATCACGTGGTTAAAGATACTAGAAAAAACACGGCAAAAGAATTCCGTAGTATGATAATGCAAGAAATTAACACCAGATGGGCATACAAATATGGAATGAAGATGTCCCCTAAATTGGTCGACAGCCAATACACAGCCGAAGCAAGTAAGAATGTTACGCGATCGTATCCGATCCACACAAGATTTTTACGGAAGGTCACGCGATGGCATCCGATCCACACACGAAGTCACCTCAAGGATACAAAATTTTACGAAGTAGTTTGCCCGCAGGACACGCAAAGACCACGCGATAGGTACACGACGTCGTATTTTGAAAACGATGCATTCGGCCGTGGTCACGAAGGCGTCACGTGACCTCCGGATGGTATAAAACATTCGGTCAACCTCGGTTAAATTCAGTTGCTGATAATATTCGGAGCACAACTACGTTTAAACTGTATTTTAAATTTGATTGTACTTTATTGTTGCTGCCGGAGCCTGAAAAATTAAGCCGGGGATCATACGATGGCACAAGTCGTTCTCACGAATGGCCCGATGTTATTACGATCAGATCCGCATTTGAACATTATTAAGTGTTCATCTAGTGCCAATTTCGGGAAAGTGTGACGCCTGCATAAAACAATATATACATATCGCGATGGTGAAAAGTGGATAGTCTGTTTTCGAAATATGAACGTTTTAAACCAATATTTCGATTTATTTCAATAATTTAATGTATCAGAAGAAAACTTTTAAAATATTCGTACAATGGGCAGTTTTCAGATATTTTCTGGAGGCATGCTGCTTTAATTGTCAAAATATGGAATTTTGTTTCTAAATGTTGTAAAATAATAAGCAATGCATACAGTGATATGCCATCCACAGGGCATTCATTTATTTATTATAATCACAGTTTGATTTGAAACTTAATACATTTTAATACACGGTTTAAGAAACATTTTAATTTTTTAGGAATATTATGCCTAAGAAACGACTTTTTTCTTCTTTGGAAAAGGCAACATGACCTAAATTGTTATATTGTTTGAATTACGGTTTTACAGCATTGAGATGAGCATAATTTGGAGAAATAGCGCAAATATAAAAGAACTAAAAATAGAAATTGTTAACAAATAGTATATCTACTTCAATACAAAATGCTAAATCCTAATGACAGTATCATTTGCTTAACGGCAACAGAAGCAGCAAATGGTTCAGGTTATTGGCCATTTATCGAATTGGGCTCTATAAAATTTATATCATTTTTTAAGAATACCCACATTATCGGTTCTACAATACATCCCCAAATATTAACACTATGTTGGGCACATGTCTTTGCAATTGGAAATTAGTTTTCTATGCTGTACCTTTGTTTGATGGCGCACCAGCCACAAAAAGGGTTCCGGCCTGCCATTGTTTCAGCAAGAGATTTGAACTCCGAGCAATTGGACTGTGAAAACGTATACACCTTTTGGATAGAAAATAATTATTTTTCATAAGAACAATAACAAAAATATTAGTTAAAACCAAATCGAAATTGAAAGTTGCTTTATGTTCTTCACGCATGAATAAATTCAATGATTATTGTTGGATTCGATAGCGAAACCGATTGTAGATCTGTTAAATTGATTTGTCGTGAAGACCAAAATATTTCTTATAGCACTAAGATATTGAATATACATTTGGTGTTAGGAAAAAAAATGTTATAAGTAATGTTATAAGCATTTCTTTTATAAACCATAAAGTCATTTTTTTCGAAGAAAGCTAAGGAAAGCGTTTGCTTTTATTGAATCAGTTATATTAAATATCTTCCTTAGAGGAAAACAGTACTTGTTACGAACGTAAGTAATTAATTGCTATTTAAACATTACAAGACATATTTAAATTGAATATAGAAAAATAAAATATTAAGTTAACGTGGTGAGAGCCTAAAACATAAATGGTATCTTCATCCTGTATATGAACTTTATGTATTGGTGTTTTCACTTCTGTCGTACTGAACAGCTCCATGGGAGATTTCAAACTTTTCATGGTTATCTGCAAAATATAATTTATAAAGTTTTGTTTTATAGGCATCAGACCAAATATCCTGGTCTTCGGTGTCGCTTTTTATCACCCAGATATGTAAAATTATCTTACATGTATCCTTAAAAATGTTTAAACCTTTCTGGCAAAGAGAAAATACATGTTCATTTTCACCCAACAACTTTGTCACTTGTTTATTGTCACATACATAGTACACGTGATCGAGGTTTTGATGTAAACACAGATGAGGTAGAATATATAAAGTTTTTTTTTGCGAACCTATTGTCCTAAGAAGTTTACTAACTTCCTCCATTACTGTTACTGGTTACTGTATATGTAGAATATATAAAGTTTTTCTTTTGCGAACCTATTGTCCTAAGAAGATTACTAACTTCCTCCATTACTGTTACTGGTTACTGTATATTTATGTGCTCATTGACCGGTGTATAGTGACCTACTTTAGTTTAGTTTAAACATATTTTATTTCTCAGAATATATATACATGTTATAATTCACAATATACTGATGCAATTCAAATATTCTTAAAAAAACAGGATTAGAATGAAAGACAACATGTCTTATGAAATTCTTCTCCTAAGTGAGTAATTGACATGTAATAGGCGCTTAAATAATTACATATTTTATAATCTGAGATGAATATAATATAGAAAAAAAATCTTGAAAACAAAATATATTAGAGAAAAAAAACACACAGAAATTGATATGTATTCAAATGCTTTAAGAAACATTGACAGGTTCCATTGAATATATTTAGGATGAATATATATTTAGAATGAATATATCAATAGATTGAATTAACATTCAAATAAATATTATCATACAAAGTAGAATAGTATTTGAAAAGAACACAGAAAGGTGAAAAGGTAGTGAAGAAGGAGAAAGATAAGTAATGAGGTATAAAGTATATGAATATAATGTTTAAGTGTTTGGGTGTTAAATGAATCTTTTTGTCTCTTGGATGTAAGTGTGTACGTGTGAAAAAATTATGTCATTAGTTTGGTCAGAAAGGTCTGGGTTGCCTAAAAGTAGAACATTTAAATCAATGTCAAAGTTATTCAAATTTCGAAGTAACTTTTGTCGAGCTGTGTCATATTGTGTACATTCGAAGAAGAAATGAAAGTTATTTTCTATTTGGCCGCAAAGACATAAAGGTGATGCAGTTATGTTTTTCAAAAACAAATGGTAGTTTAGAGAACTACACTTTGTTCGAAGTCTTGTATGAAGAATTTGAAGTTTTCTTTCACCAGACAAGCAATACTTAGGCGTGTGCCGTATGTTTTTCTTCAAAGTTTGTTTAAATGATGTGATAGTTGGAAGGGTACGGACGTCGTGTGGAAGATTATTCCATTCCCTTATTGCAGTCGGAAAAGAAGAGTTAAAATAAAGTGTAGTTCTTGCATATATTCCCGGAATATTGTCAATATTTCTTAGGTCGTACCTATCATTAGTTGATGTTGGGAGAATTGAGAAAAGATAGTCTGGAGCTAGTCCGTTTTGGATTTTAAAAAGTAAGATCATTCTATGAATATATCGTCTTTCTTCGAGAGATTCCCAGTTTATTTCATTTGAAAGATTTTCGAGTGTAACAAGTCTTGTACATCCTGAAGCAATACGAGCACATTCCTTTTGGATTTTGTTAAGTTCGTCTAATTCAAAATTTGTAGCATTTCCCCATATAACATCAGCATATTCAAGTAATGGACGAATGAAAGAAGTGTAGATTGTCTCTAGTGATTTTCTATCAAGGCGAAATTTAAGTTTTCTCATAATATTTACCCTATTCCATGCTTTATTTGTTATATAATCTGTATGTGAGTGCCATGTGCAGTTATTCGAAATTAAGCTCCAAGATGTTTGTGGTCAGAAACTTCAGTAATACTCTGATTATTCATTTGTAGTTCTGGGTGTTGATTTTGATATCTCTTTCTAGAGACTAATAAAGACTCAGATTTAGAAGGATTAAATGAAACAAGCCATGTATCTGCCCATAATGAAATTCTGTCTATATCCGACTGTAATGTGATAGCAGCTGTTTGTGGATTTTCAACAACAAGATAAAGACTAGTATCATCGGCGAATAAATTGATACAAGATTGTATATCTTTAACAATATCGTTAATAAATATGAGAAAGAGGAGAGGACCAAGAATTGAGCCTTGGGGGACACCAGCTGAAAGGTAACCAAAGGTTGTTGTCTATCTTTTAAATATTCGAGAAACCAAGTATAGACCTTTCCAGAAATTCCAGCATGTTTCAATTTAGTAAGTAAACCCTTGTGCCAAACCTTGTCGAAAGCTTTACTAATGTCAAAGAAAATAACTCGTACTTCTAGACCGTTATCAAGGGCTTTGCAGAGAGTATCGTAAATAGACACTAATTGATTGACTGTTGAATCGCCTGGTGTAAATCCTGATTGAACTGGAGTAAGGAAGTTATTATTTTGCAAATGGTTAAAGAGATGTTTGAATATAAGTCTTTCAAATACTTTCTCCATGGTGTTTAGAAGTGAAATAGGACGATAGTTACTTAGGCAAGGATGGATCACCTTTTTTGAAAATTACAGTTACATTAGCTTCTTTTCCAAGAAGATGGTATGATACAACTTTGGAGAGAGTAGTTGAATAGGTTACATAAGGGGACAGAAAGTTCTTGAGAAGCTTCTTTAAGAATTGTATTACTGATTCCATCAGGACAGGATGCTTTATCGGTTTTAAGAGATTTAAGGACAGATTGTGTTTCGTCTGGAGAAAGAACAAGTTCAGATAATATATTTCCATTCAATGGAGGACCAAGATCGGGGACATCTTTATCTGAGTTGTCGACTTGTGTCTGCTGAAGAAAATATTCATTTAGGAGATTTGTCTTCTCTTCGTCAGAAAAATGTAATTTGTTTGTGTTGCTCTTAAGTGGGGGCATTGTTTGACTGGTTGTAGATGAAATGAATGTTTTAAAAGTTTTCCACCAATCCTTAGATGATAATGATTGTTCTTTTAGTTTATTTGCCATATTACAGTAATAATTGGATTCTGTTTCCCTGATCAGTAACGTAGTTTTATTTCTAAATTGTCTGAATTTTTGCCAATGAGTTGTTGTTTGTTTAAGTTAAGCTTTTTTATATAATCGTTTTCTTATTCGAATATGACTTCGTATAGTACTTGTCATCCACGGAACATCGGAAGGGCGAATATATATCATCTTATTAGGAATACAATCTTTGGCAATATCTCATAATTTATCTGTCATTTTGTTAGTATATATATTTATGTCAGTATCAAAGCAATTGTTCCAGTTAGTAATCTGTATATCATTTCTTAACTTTTCATAATCACCACGCTTATATTCCAAAATAAATCTTTGAAAAGATTTTTGTTTATACTTTTTAAATTTCAAAAAACAATAAATTGGAATGTGATATCGCGAATCTTGATCTAGGAAATGTTCACCAACACCAGAATGAAGAATGTTTTCTTTGTTGGTTACAAATATCAAGTCAATAATTGACTCAGAATTTTCAGTAAAATGTGTGGGTTCTTCGATTAGTTGATATAAACTAAATTGTTGTGTAAGTGCTGAAATTTTTCTATTTGACAAATTGTTTAAGGCATTGTAGTTAAAATCCCCTGTTATAATTATATTTGTTATATTAGTATCAACAGCAAGAGCAATTGAGTCTTCAATTAGACCGTTGTAAATTGCATCCGAGTTTGGTGCGCGATAAAAAACTCCAAAAAGAATATGTTTGTTGTTTTCGAGAATAAGTTCAATCCAGATATTTTCAAGAAAGTTAAGTTCAAGATCACGTCTTCTGGTGTAATGTAAGTTATTTTTGATATATACTATAACTCCTCCATAAGTATTTTGTACGCGTTCGGGACTAAATATGAGGTAAGAGCGAGATCTTCGGTAGTTATATTCGGACAAAGCCATGTTTCAGAGAAAGCCAGTATATCAAAGTCACGAAGTTCTGAATAAATTAAGTCAAGTTTATTCCGAATGCTTTGGACGTTTAAGTGGACGAACGAAAGGTGATGTTGAATATTAGTAAAATCGGACTGAGATTGGTCTGTGCATGTTGAAAACAATGATTCGAGGCCAGGGTTTTTATGGACATCACCGGCCATCAAAATAAGTAAGTATAGCCACATACAAAGGACAGTTCTAAATAAGGTCTCTATAAATGCATATGTAAATTTTATGTTTAATTCAAGTTTGTCAAGATTTGGAATTACATTCTTATAAGGAAGTTTAATTAACCTATGTTTGTTGGCAGCAACTAATAGACTATACTGTAATGACAAAGTTGATATAGGGCAGAAAAATGTATATAGACATAACAACAAATGAGTGAATAGAGGAAACAACCCATAATACCTGTATGGACAAGTGACTGCAGTATAATATTTATAGTTGACTATGTTATAGATGATAAGAGTATCAGGACTATGGATTCTGCCGTCAGGACCATACAAAGGTTAGACACGTTGAGAAGAATGTACACATTATTTATCTGTTTATCATTATATGAAGATCTTGAGACTATGATTTGAGATAAATGAGTTGAAGAAGAGATTGTGAGTAGATGAAGTAAAAAGGAAGATAGCATATTTAGAAGTATATTTGAGAAAGAAAAAAATGAACTTGAGAATAGATGTGAAAAATGTAAATTGGTATAATAATATGAGATATGATGGAATTGATGAGATAATAAGATATATCTGAACATATTTGATAATTGATTAAATACTTTTCTTAAAACAGTGTGTTTTCTATATCAGAATTATTTTTGAGGCATGAAAAAACAAACAAACAAAAAATGGAACATGTGTGATAGAAATATCATTTTGCTGAAAGCAAGGAAAAGATTATAATGTTAATGTTTGGAGACACATACACATCAATATTTGAATCATGAATCATTACATAAGAAAAAAAATTATTAACTTAACATGTCAAAATATACACAGTTACTTTTTAACATATATATTATACATAAATTATATATCTAATATAAGAAAAAGAAATATGTTGCCTTAACATGATACAGTATATACAGTTCATCTTTGTACATATTTAGAACAATTATTAAATATGGAAATATAAACATTTATTATATTGTATGATACAAAGTTACATATCAGTAAAGGTACATCGGCAAAAACTAGACTTACAGCCAGACATATGTGTTCGAATCATGTCAGAAATAAATGAATTAATTCACACGTAATTGCAAGGCGTCAAGGCTATAATATTTCGTATAACTAGAGTACAATAACATTTATAGTTACATCAATATATACTAGGCTTCAAGGCTATAATATTAAGAATAACGAGAGTAAACTTATATCAAAAATGCGCCAGCAATAACTAGGTTTCAATGGTATCATACACGCGTTTCTTACTTTTTGGGCCGTCATTAAACATAGACGACATACATATATATGGAAGGGTATTAACGCAAAAATTACATCTTAATAATATTTTCTTACGTTACATCGTGCTTTCTAACTTGTACATTTTGCATTCTGACTTGTACATGTTGCTTTCTTACATGCACATTATGCTTTCTGCTTTGTGCGTCTTGCTTAATGGTATGTTGATATCATTTTTTAACGATAAATTATTATTCATTTGTTGATCTGGTTTATTAATTCAATAACTTAACCTTTTTTATCAACAAAATAATTATAAAATAAAACAGTTGTTCAAAGTGCTCGGGTATGGAAGGTGATCGATATTCCGGATACTCGTATATTTTCGGTAATTTCCATATGGTTCCGTACATGTTTCCGAACTTGCGCCCTATGCTGAAAAAAGAGTGTAGTTTGCAACCTGCCTTGTTGTATTACACACAGTGCGTGCTTCCATGTATTATTTATACATGTATAATCGATTAACATAGGTTTCCTATTTTTGTACACATTAAATGTTGACAGTTTACGATCATTATAATTAAACTGAACTAATTTAAGAATCAAACATATAACTTTAATGTAGACAAATTTAAAGATAGTCAAATAATGAACGATTCATGCAATTTTAAGCAAAATGTGCAAGTCATAATGCATTGTGTGCATGTCATAATGCAAAATGTAATAGTAAAAATCCAAGATGTACAAGTCAGAAAGCACAATATAACGTAAGAAGGCAATATGTAATTTTTGCGTTAATACCCTTCCATACATATATGCATCTGTGATATCAAACATATATTAACTAGTAACATTCTTGTCATACCAACACTGTTAAATAAAATATCTAAAACATTGTAAGTACTTAATGAGCCATTCCCGGTTCTGAGAATTATCTTACTCGACTGACTGTCTACCCGCTTCTAAAGCTCAATAGGATACCTTTTGTTTAGTAAACCAGTGGGCGATTGTTATTCGACGAGTTTACATTACTCCGTGACATATGACATCAGACATTGTGTCTAATTATCATTTGTCTCTCACCGCTGATATTGTAATCATGTGGTATTAAAAGTCGATTTTGACGGAGAAATTATAGTTAATATTTTACGTACTGGTTAGTATGGTTGCTGATTTGGAACGCTTTTGTAGCGACAGAACGACAAAGCGCCAAACGCCGCATTGTCGGACTTTCGTCTTGTCGTCTTGTTGCTAACGATTCACGCCAAACGGTGCGTTGTCGTGCGGCAGTTATCGTGATGTCACATTGTCGCTCGGAGTAGCTTATTAGAAAAGAGACATGGGGAAAATAACGACAACGCGCCTCACGACAACGTTAGAGACAGGACGACAAGACGACAGTGCAAATGCGCCGTTTGGCAGTTTTCGCTAGCGACAAGAAGACCAAGACGAAAAGGCGATAACGATATAGGTTGTGCTGTAGCTATCGACAACGTCAAGCGCAAAGTGCACCAAATCAGCCATCATAGATTAGTTATCCGTCAAACTATGATCAAAAATATGTTGGAAACGTCGGTAATAACCAAAATAATACAATCAAAATGTTATTTGACTATAAAACTATAATATAAATACACCAGACACATAGCTTGCTAATTTTAAAATTTAAAAGTAATGTTGTTTAATTCATGTAAGTTTAAGTGTCACTGCAATGGATTGAGGAAAACTTATCTTTGCATCAAACTAGCTTACGAAACGTTGACGGTTCAACTTAAATTGTTTGTGCCTGAAACAATGTATGGAGGTACAATTGAGGTCTTCCTTCACCAGTGCTAGAACCTAAAAAGGGCTGTTAGTGCGAGCAAATGACACCACCATTCAAGCTGTCATTTCGAATTAGGAGCTTACGCACCCCAGTATACTAACTCGTTGCCTCTGCCACATTTTAGGGTCACTCTCCACGTAGTAGGTCAGGCCATAGGCAGCTTACTTCATACAGAAGTCGTGACGCCTTATTAAGCGTTATCGAAATGTAAAATTATGTAAACTAGCCTACTTACACGTTGCAGTGGACCTTTACTCACATGCCGACGCCATGTGTTTCTGCACTACATGCACATTACGAGGAGAAGACAGAAGTAATCACAAGACATGCCACACATTGAATTTTATAGGCTCGCAAGACAAGGTGAAGCAAATGAATAAGTGATCTTTCTTTTTTCAAGAAATACTGATTTTGAATACTTATTAATCTTAACATACCTTTAAATAATAAAAGGCATACCTGTATTAAAGATCCAGTCGATAGTCCTGCAATAAGGACGATATAATCTCTGCCAATAGAAGTACCATCAAGCGCGGACACGTGACCTGTCTTCGTTTGATGTAGATATGTCGCTGTCATTTTATGCGAATAATTTCCGCTCCCACATAGCAATTTGAAATACTCCATAAAGCCAGAAGAAATCAACTGGAAAAAATGCAACAAAACATAGTTTACTACATCATCATCAGTATTATATCATCAACATCAACACAATCATCTTCATCACCATGTATGTATGGAATACCCTGAAGGTGGATCTTAACATTATTTTTATTGATAATATTATTAACTACTTCTGCGTAGCGAAATTGATGCATGATAAATGCATTTCTTTTTAATAGAAATTAATGCAACATATAATTTGTTATCAGCTTTACGGTGGTATAAAAGTTACATTTGCAAATTTATTTTTGTTTTGTTTTTCGTACTTATTTTCTTTATACATATTTTTTGTTTTACGCACATATTTTTGTTTTGTTTTTGTTTTTCGTACATATTTTTAAAATAAAATATGTACGGAAAAATAAAGAAAATACGTATGAAAAACAAAACAAATATAAGTATGAAAAACAAAAACAAAATAATTTGGAAAGGTCACTTTTATGCCACCGTAGCTTAAATATACACAAGACATAAATAATAAAATTCATGAAAGGTACGAATTTATTAAAGTACTCTTGCCGTATAAACCTTCAAGCAACACACGACCCACCAAAACACGCACAAATATTTTGCCGTTGTATTCAGTGTAGCATTACCACGTGACCAGGACGTCATTTTCGGCATCATTTCCAAGACAGATATTGCTCGATTTGAAAAAGAATAAAGCCGTAAGTATTTTATTTCTTTACCAATTTCTTTGAGATATACACCTTTCTACGGAGAAAAATATAAGCTTGCCATAGAATAATGTATCTCCTTCAGTATATGAGCCGTTTTATCAAACACTTTGTATAACTCTGGAAGTTGTTTGTATAAGACCGGACTTCGTTTTCTTGTATTATCTGATCTTTGCCATGATTTAAAATTCACAATTACATTAACCAGGAGTACGGAAGAGAAAAACCTACTTAAATATGTTTAAAGTATAATAATTTTTGGTATAAGCCTTACCTTTTTCTTCTATTACCAATTATGCACACCAGTTCCAAGCCAAAAAAACTGACTTTAGTTTAAAATATGATTAACAAGATCAACAAGGAAAGGCAGCGTTCAATGAACGCAACCCCCATACGACCCAACAACATTAACCAGTCGTTAGGAGCCCAGGCGGACCCAAACAAAAACAGGACAGGGCACAAGACAGAGCACGGACAGGCCAATCACTAAAATTATAAATAATTTGTAAATGATAAGGAATTCAAAGAAAACAAATAAATGATCGAATAATAAAAATAATTTGTAACTGATAAGGAAGTCAAAGAAAACAAATAAATAAAGCAGTTTTCAGTATTGGTTTCAAATGCAAAGCAACATGTCCTCCATTCTCTTTCTATAAGAATGGCTATTTCTATAAAAAATATTTTTGGGGAAATAAATTTTGCCTTGCTATTGTAATGACGTAAGCACTGTAGTTACGTCATGTCCTTTTAACGCTGACGTCAAATGGTCTAACAATGAAAACAAATGGGAAGAATAAAAACATAATGTTTGATCCATTTGCTTGTTTTAATGTTGTGTCACTTGGGTTTTGTATGCCCGTTACCCCAACCATTTTGCTTTTTATTAATGAATTCGTGCCCATAAAATGCCAAAGATTGAATAAAATGTTATTTAGAAAAATAAATCATATACGCCATATATTTAAAACTATTCCGTTTTTATTACATTACTATGTTCTTCTTCTTTCTTCTTCTACTGATAATATTTCCCCAAATGCTCTTTATATCTTCTGTCACTCAAGCTGGTTTGTAACTAACTGTCTTATTATTGCTTAGATAATTCCGAACTGGTGCCATAATTTACAATTGAGAAAATGGTTAGATTTACGCGAAATATAATAGCAATATGAACATAATTATTTTGGTAGGATTTTGTCTTCTGTACTCCCGGTCGATGTAAACTTGACTTTTAAATCATGGCGTAGATCAGATAAAGCCAGAAAACGAAATACATGTAGTTTGCAACTGAAGTCACAGTATTTGAAAAAACGTCTCATATACTGAAGAAGATACAATAGTCTATGGCAAGCTTATAGAATCGTGCATATTCCAACAAATAAAATACTTTCTTATTTTCTTTTTCGAATCAAGCAATATTTGTCTTTGAAATGATGCCGAAAATGAAGTCTCGGTCACGTGGTATTGCTACACTGGTATATTAATACTACTCAACTACTTTTTCTAAGCACCATATGTTTAAGTGAGAATATATTTTCGGACAATTTTATTAACGCCGTGCAAAAGGTTTTAAATGTTGGTTTTCTGTTTTATCAATTCAGCTGAAAGACGCATTTAACCTTATAAATGAGTTTTACACTGATTTTGTGTTAGAAAAGAGGATGAAGAGATTTCATAACATGCAGCGTGTTTTCCAAATTTACTCAATTGTTTTTTGTTTGTTTACAGTTTTAGACTCAATACCGTGTGTGTGACCCGTGACTTTCAATGACAGCTTGGCAGCGCCTTTTAATACTCCTTATTAGGTTTCTGATTGTTCTAACGAATATGGCTACCCATTCTTGGACCAACTAAGCTGGATGGTTCTGGGTTGCAGCTGACGAGCTGAATTACTAACCTGCAGCTGATTTCACATGTATTCTATTGAAATTAAGTCAGGTGAGCGTCCTGACCAGTCCATGCCCTCAATAGACTCCTTCTCTAGGTAGTCCTGGACCACCCTTAGCCTATGTGGGAGAGTGCTATCGTCCATTATAATGAACTGATCGATGACCGCTCCAGCATACAACCTACGACTCATCAAACAGAACGTGTCTCGTGTTGCATGGTCCTCGTGTATCCTCCATGATCCACGGGCCTGGCGATGTCGACGCGTCAATGGGATGCTAGGCCTTCTCGACATGCAGCCTTTTACGTAACGTCTGCGTGGAAACACGCACCCCTGCAGCGTTAGCAATGTCATTTTGAAGAGACGTTGCCATCAAAAACATTGTACGACGTGCCTGAACGATAAAAAACCGATCCTGAGTTTATTTTTCGAAATGTCCGTTACATGTTTTGCGGCAAACGATTTTACATGATATAACAAGAAAAGCATTGATGCAATGCATCAAAGGACGCCCAAGCAAGATATGCAGCAAGTGAAGATGAACTGGTAGCCATCTGATGGCCAGATATTCTTAAAAACTGTTCATTGGTTAATTTGATTTTACCACGATTGTATATAATTTATGAATGGGCGTCGATCATGAACTTTGGTAGGCATGCTAGAGATTAGAATATTAAATGTATTTTCTTTGGCACATACAAACTGAAGTCAAAATGAACAAAGTTAGTTAACTGATTTATTGCGAGGTCATGAAATTTCTTCAAAAATCTCGTCAGACTCACCAATGTGTTTTACATTCCTATCAATAAACCTATGACAACTCATGATAAAATTGCAGACGAAAGTTTCTGTTGTTAAAATGTCACAGAATTCGGCAAATCAACATACCATTTATAAAACAGCTTGTCTTCAAACAAAATATAGAACAGCAAAGCGTCGGGTAATAAGGGTCGACTTTAAACATCAAGTAGGTTTTATAGTTTACTATTGCTAGACCTGTTTACTGTTGCACAGCGACATATAAAGTTATGGAAGCCAAAACCAGGTCGATCTAAATATTCACGGTAAAAAATGTCATAAATGCAATCAGGGACCGAAAAGAACCTACGAAAAAGACCATAAAAGAATGATGATACTATGATATAACATGGCCTTCTTAAAATTTTTCTTTAAATAAAGAGTGCAATTTATTGTTTGAATATGTTTGCATTTAATTTTCTGCAAAATTCCCCAGTGCTTTATTTATTACCATAGCATGACATGAATGACCGTTTCGTAAAAGTAAAACTACTTCAGTCTATAAATAGATTTTCGGACTGTTCATCTATTTATAGCTACAGCAATAAAATCAATTAAGTATACAATTACGCACTGTGTACTACAAAATAATTAGTAGTTTCATGTAGAAGATACAAATGTAAGAAATAAATTACCGAATTTTAGTTTATTTTTTGTTTTGTATTTAATACTGTCTTCCCAGCGATGGAGGCGTGAAACATGTTAATAAGACATGCTGCGAATCACCGAATGGGAAACCAATATTTGACTTTTCATAATAGAAATCGGAAGGAATTCTTAACTCAGAATTCATTTTAGCTGTAAATCGAATGGATTAATTGATAAAAATCGGGTCAATGAACAAAGAAAATAGTGAACGCAAAGAGCATTTAATTTAAAAAAAGGCCGATATTTTGTAGAAATATCTTGAAAGCACTTTTATTAAAATTATTTATGAGTGGCTTTAATAAAATTTAGATTTTTTTATTTTAATAAAATTTTGTTTTTGTCATCAAATTAGTAAGTAAAGAGTTTATTGACACATTATGAATTTAAATTTTTGATATTATTTTTTTTTGTTGTTGTTTCTTTTTTGAAATAGTTAAAAGCTTTACATAAATAAATTAAATCATCATTATCATTTTGTATTGCCATTTCTAGAAAATGGCCATTTCTTGCTTCACATATACATCATTGTCATAAACATCGTCAATATCATTATAATCATCATCATAATCTTTTCTTCCTCCTGATAATCATTTACCAATATCATTATGAGTATGGTCAAGAATATCATGAATTAGTCTACTTTGTTTTTATATTTTAGCTTCAATGATTATTGATATATATTATTGACTACTTGTATTATATTTTATAATCATAAACTTTGAACCTCGTTAAAAATGTCATTACCTTAGCACAGAAACTTGCATGTTTTCCTTTGGCCAAACTTTCAAAGCTTTCTTTAGCATTTAGTATGTCCTGAAATATGTCACTAATTTTTGATACACAAATCGCAGTGTTACCGGTTGGATTGGTAGGATCATTTCCTCTTGAGAACGCGCCCACAAAAATTCTATCGTTGTTCAAAATTCCGAAGGAACTTGGGGCATCTATTAGTACTGCCTTTTGAATAAGATTATACTCAATATCATCAAATATACAACTAAGAATTATGTCCGTATATGAATCAAAATTAGTATCATTTTGGTTAAGACTAATCAATTTAGAAACATAGTTTGTACTTTTAAGATTCTTCTTTTGTATCGTTACAAAATAGGTGTACCAGTTAAATTGAAACACGTCTTTGAAATAGCAGACGAATTCTGGAAAATCTAGTTTTATATGAAAAGTATCAAGACGTTTTTTGTACCTTAAGCTTACTACGTCCACTATACAGATAAAATCATCAAACGAAAAGCGAGTGTATTGCTGTCGCGCATCCAGAGAAACAGCTACCGTAATATGACCATCCATTGTTACAATACCTTGCACAGGTACACTTTCATACCTGTCAAAATAAAAATTATATATTTCCCTTGTTCTCACAACATTTTCGATTTTATCACTCATTCGTATTTCAAAAATGCCATTGTTGTCAGTTCTGTATACGAAAATTTCGTTTCTATCTTCCAGCACAAGTAAAATTTTCTTCAAATTTCGGCACAAATCCGAAGAATTGGAGCATATTGTGGCTGACTAACTTATACTTAAGTCATTATTAAGTATGTACAGCATATTGGTGCCTCCGATGTAGATTTTGTCATTAAATACGCGGAGATTCTGCAACGGTCCACTAAGTGTCACAGACCTAAACCGCTCAATCAAAGCATTGGCGGTCAGGAAAAATAAAATGAAAATTATAAAACATAATATCCTTTTGTAACTCGGCATATTAGAAAATATATGACATGAAACAAATAACATCGACAATCATTAGTGCTATGGAACACAATTTCATTTCTTACTAAAGACATGAATCATAGACATTATTATTTTGAACTACTCAACGCGGAAGATTATTCATTAGTTAGGCACGTCCAATTGCAATTGTTCCAAAAGTTAAGGAAATTAAATACATAAAAACAACAAGCAATACACACGTCAGTATTCATTAAAAAGAGATTATTTCTAATTATTGCTCATTATTGGAGATATTTGCCTCTTGTTACAGCGACATTTCGTGATAGTTTTAAATTATTACAATTTATTTTATATGATCATTTCAGATTATTCATTTTGTTTTCCTCTATCATATCAATTCTTTTTATATATTACAAATGTAAATAGTAATATAAACTAAAAAAAGTGTTCAAAGGACACCGATTCATTCATTTATTTCATTTTAATAGGTCTGTCTCGTCACACTTGTTTTGTCCAAGTATAAAAGGTCTTATCGAATTTATTTAACATGTTTGTTTGGCCACAAGTGTTATTTTATCTACGTATAAATCAAATCCGTACATAAATAACTAATATATGACAACTGAACCAAAATTAAATGATTTGACATTGACGGTCAAGGTTAGTTCAACCTTTTACAAGGTCTCTTCCAAACGGTTGTTTTGTCCAAGTATAAAGATAATCCATAGATAAATTACCAATTTACAGTCAATTATAGCAATAATCAGTGAAAATAATTAAATTTGACCTTCAAGTTCAACGTCATACATGAGTCATAATCAGAAATGCAAACCGACATTTGGCCTTGAAGATCAAGGTCACTTATGAATGAAGGTCAAATCTAGTCTGGTCCACTTAATGGCCTTGCCCCAACGGTTGTTGCGCGGCTAAATATGAAGACAATAAACCAAGACATAAAAATTATGATCAAGGATAACGTTTTTTATCGGAATATCCCCTGGCAGGCACTCATTATCACTAACACAACAACTGGAGACACAAAGTTTTTTTATATATATTCATTAAAACCAGTCTTTAATGATTGACATAGAACTGCTGAAATTCAGTCAGTTGTTGCAAAATAAATTGCATAAACATGTTATTCTATGTACTTGATAAAAATTCCGGGATATAACAGGGACCATAACTCCGTGTTATATAGGTATTATCTTGCCATGCCAATGAGATGCAAATTTCTTTTTTATTAAAGGCTCCCATAAAGTATTTTTGAAATAAATTCAGCAAGGAAAATTTCGCAATATTCCTCTTAAGGCATACTGCAAAACTTATCAAGGGCCATAACTTTGTATTGAAGTGAGCGGCCGGAACAATGTGATGATATGCAAAAACTCCTATTTGTAATAATTGTTTCCACAATGTTTTCTTGAAATCCATCTAGCAGCTGAAGAGAAATAGCACGGAAACGATTATTCCTCTATCTGCAAACTGCATAACTAATCAAGGGTCATAACTCTGTGTTGAAGGGTCTGACTGGAAAAAAGTGATGATATGCGCATTCCCTATTGGTATTGACTGTTTTCACAAGTTTTCTTGAAATCAATCAAACAGTTGCAAAGAAATAGCAAGGAAACAATAATTGCTGTATATGCACACTACATAACTAATCAATGACCATAATTGTATTGAAGGGTCTGACCCAAACAAGGCGACGATATGTGAATCTTAAATGAATTCAAGCCAGTAGTTGCAAAGAAGTAGCACGGAAACGATTATTGCTCTATATGCATACTGCATAACTTATCAAAGGCCATAACTGTGTTGAAGGGTCTGACCCAAACAAGGTGACAATGTGCCCATTTTCTCTTGGTATTAATGGTTCTCATAAAATTTCGCTGATTTCCAGCCAGAAGTTGCAGAGAAAGAGCGTGTGGAAACGAAATTCTGACTGCCAAAACAATATCCCCTCCTGATTCCATCGGCGAAGTATCAAAAAGTTACAGTTCTTTTCGATAGCAGTTTCATTTTACCAGAATTGAACACTGACTGCAATTGCCTTATATTGGTAGTAGATCTCATTTCGTTTCTTGTTCAATTTAGGTCTTCAGGAGAAGTGTTCAGCTGGTAACCACACATTTCTTCTAAACCAAACCTTTCCAACATATATGACTTTTATCAATCACTTTTATTTGCAGGACTATATTTGCTGCATATATCACACCTAATAAAATGTAAGTTAATTAAAAAGACAAGACGTAGTTACATGAATTTGAAACGGATTTTTGAACTTGAAAATGAAAAACGAGACTTCATGGAGTACAATATCTTTCAATTACATGGGGACCAGACGCCGTTTTTCTTAGAATGACACTAATATGAAATCATCTACGGGTGTTTCTTAACTCAAAATGTCACCATCTTCGTCTTTAAATGTTGAACTCTGCTTAAGCTGGTGATAGGTAGCGTTGACGGTAGATTGCACTTGACAGTACCGATAAACAGGCTCAATCAAACCGAGCCTGCAACCTTTTCAATTTTGCAGTGTTGTACTTCATTTAGGGATACCGTTCTCTATTTCTCGGCCGAAGGCCGTCGGATTTCACCTTGACTTCCGCTAAAATTAACAGTAAAGAAATGAATATAGGCAGAGTTTTTATTGGTCATTTTTACACTTATAGCCTGTTCGATTGATACTTTAGAAGAGCTTCCGTTATAGGTAGTCAGATCGTCTTTTTGATACTTTTGCGTTTGATTGGGTTCCTCTTCTAAGCTGTTCTAGTCATTATATTCTCTTCTCGAACCGTGCATAAGACGATTGAAACGAACTTTCAATCTGACGGACCAAGTGGGAGACTCTATGATGGACAGTTTTATAGCCCTTTGGGACTGAATTGCCTTGATGTTCGTATTCTGTCTTGCTACGTCGGGTCCTTGTAGGTGATTTTCTTGTTGCTCTGTCTTCCTTTAGAACATTGAGTACTTTTGTTATGGTCATTGGGTTTAATTTTATATGTTTCTACATGATCATTTTGGTGTTTTACTTATTTAACCTTTTGTAACCATAACAACTGTTAGAATTTTAACTTGACAGGGATTCATTTTATTTACACTGTCTCATTTATAGGAACATGGTGGGGCTAAGAGTGAGATTTGGTGCACCATTAACCGGTTTAAACTCCCCAGCAGTACTTGTGCTGCTGACTGTTCCAAGGCAGCGCCCCTCTGTGTTCCTCAGATGTATGTCTATGTTGTTTTATACTGTTTTTGTGACACTTTTGTTTGTGTCCATTGTTGTTTTCTCGTCTACGGTAAGCATCTTCCCCCTTTTCCCCTAGATTTTATTTCTTTGATTTTACCCAACCCCCCCCCCTTTCCCCGGTCTCCTGTCTCCTTCCCCTGTGCCCTTTGACTTTGTGGGCCTATTATTCAATCATTTATTTGTTTTCTTTGAATTCCTTATCAGTTACAAATTATTTCCTATTATTCAATCATTTATTTGTTTTCTTTGGATTCGTATCAGTTACAAATTATTTATCTTTTAGTCTTTTTAGTGATTAACCTGTCCGTGCTCTGTCTTGTGTCATGTCCTGTCCATGTACGCCTGGGCTCCTTAACGCTGGTTCTTGTTGCTGGGCCGTGTAGGGGTTGCGTTCATTGAACGCCGCCTTTCCTTGTTGACTACTTTCGACTAATTTACAGTTGCAAAATTATCCGTGGAATTAGTGTACAGTATCTACTAAATCTTTGTTTATTATAAATTCCTATTCAAACCAAAGTCCATTTTTCTTAAAATCAAATAATTTAAGTAATATTGTTTAAATCTAAGATGACAATTAAGTTGGGAAAAACATTGCGGGTAAAAATAAACTGATATAAAACTATTTAGGACGAATAAAATGTTCTGTTTGCGGTTAGTATGGTTAGTAGTAGCTTATCCTATGCAAGTTAACAAGTTTGACTTCGGCCGAGAATCTTTTTAAAGATACTTCTTGTTTGACATGCAGTTGTTGTTGTTGTTGTGTTTTTGTTGTTGTTGGTGTTGTTTTTTTTTTTTTTTTTTTTTTTTTTTTTTGGCAATCGGGAAATGATAATGAACCTAAATTGATACGATTGGATCTAACATAAAGGATACCAAATATGAATATCACAACTGAATATATTGCAATGAAATAATATACCTTCTCAATCGTAACTCACAATGGATTTCTTCTTTCGTACTGTTCTGGTTTACTAGATTTTGTGCTCTTGACTTCGATTTTCTGTATTGTTGACATATCAAAACTGCAGATGTAAATATGAAATAAATGTTATTAGATAAGACAATTCGAAATAAATCAATTAAAATGTCATTCAGAATGATTTCTGTACAGTATGCCTAATGCAATCCAATTTTTACTGAAATATTGAACAAATACTACATAACCAACAACCCATTCTCTTTTTCCGTTGTTATAGAGATTATAAAGAGAGTGCAAAACTACCTAGAAATTGTTGTATTCCATTGAATATGATTGTACTCTGAATCGTTAATATATCTCACTTTACAGAATGCAAAATTGATTGTATTCTCTGAAATAAGCAGCACACACATCGGTTTAACTTCAAGTATATTTTACAATTATCGATTGCAAACATGAAATAAACTTGTGCTAAACAACATGTATACATTAAATAAAAATAGAAAAGAAAAATACATGTTATTTCAAATGTTCTGTCACGAATGTATTTTGATAAACATTTATCCCAGTTGCGACAGTGAATTAACAGTTACACACAAATGACATTAATGCTTGGCTCAATCAAACCAGGCCTGCAGCATTTTCAATTTTGCCGTTTTGGGCGTTTGTTAGGGATTCTGATTGTTTTCTATTTTGTTATAAACACTCAATGGATTTCAAAACATAGCTAAATTTAAATTCCAATGAACACACATGCGTTTACACAAGCTATAAAATGAACGAAGTTGGAAACTATGTATATGTGACAACTTTACCCGTTGCACTGATAAAAATGAGCGCAGCACCCGCTCCAGTCGCCGACAGTACAACAGAAGTAACTGAAGTACTTGGAGAACTAGAAGAACTTCTGATAGTGTCCGGCGACTTTTTTGTAAACTCAACACATCTTGTGTATGTTTCCTATTGTTACCTAGAATTGA